TTAGTTTTTACTTCATTCATGTGCAATGGCATTCAAAAATTGGGAGTTGGTCAATTTTGATTTTGAAAAAAGTGCTTCTTGTGCTTACCAAAAATTGAGAAAAATTATTTCAAATCAAAATAACTGTTTTCTATGTGAATATATTGTAAAATGTAATTTATTCCTGTGATGCACAGCTGAATTTTCAGCATCATTACTCCAGTCTTCAGTGTCACATGATCTTCAGAAATCACTCTAATATGCTGATTTGCTGCTCAAGAAACATTCCTGTTTATTATCCGTGTTGAAAACAGTTGTGCTGCACAATATTTTTTGTGGAAACTGTGATATATTCAATTTTTTAGAGTTGTTGATGAATAGAAAGTTCAAAAGAACAGCATTTATTTGAAATAGAAATCTTCTGTAACATTGGAAAAGGCTTTACTGTCACTTTTGATCATTTTAATGCATCCTTGCTGAATTAAAAAAAAAAATCATACTGACTCCCAACTTTTGAAGAGTAAGGCTAGTGTTTGTAGTGTGTGCATATATGCTTTACTTTATATATACGGTTTACTGTGTTTCTCATTTGGAAAGATGGGAAACTGTATGACGCTTCTGCGATTTACCAAAGAAGCAACTTGGATGAGATGTCAAGCAAAACTGTAATTGACTTTGTCAGTGGATCTCTGCTGACCGTGCTGGAGAGCTACTACGGCTTTAAACTGTTTATTCATGGCAGATCTGACCTGCCCGGGGAAGGTACGCTTCTATACATTTAAACATTGATTTTTAATATGTAGCGTGATTTTTCTCACTACATGTTCCTCACCATCGTCTCTTCCTGTATCTTCACCAGACTGCATGAACTTGATCGAGACTAAGATCCAGCTCAGCCGGAGACTTATCATCATTTTTAACCCCAGGAGCAAGTGCAGAGAAAAGCAGCGTTTCTCCTGAAGTGTATGATCTGCAGGTAGGGCTCCATCAGGCTCTGGTCCAGGGAGAAACCAGTGTGATTCTCATCCAGCTGGGACAGATGCAGGACTACACACCTGCCTCTCGGACTGCACCATCTGCTCTGTAAAAATTCACCTCTGCTGTGGAGAGACGATGAATCCTCACCAAACTCCAGGTTCTGGAAACGAGTGTGATATCGGATGCCTGCTGCGTCATCCTATCAGAGGAGTCATGTGAAGAGTAGATCGCTGACGGCATCGTGTCAGGGTTTACTCATTTGATGCAAGAGATGCATCTCAGGTCCAGGGGCCAGATTCACGAGAAGCATCTTGAAGTTAAGGAATTTCTTAATTTCTGGTGGTGAATACATCACAATGTAAAGCACTTTGAGGGCCTAGAAAAGCGCTATATAAATATAATGAATTATTATTATTATTATTATTAAGATAAATTTGTAAGAATGTACCGAAAGTGTAATTCTTGACCAATTCTTAAAGGGGTCATGTACTGAGAAATCTAAATTCCCTTGATCTTTTGATATAAGAGGTCATTGTGCTATAAAAACATTTCAGAGCTCAAAACTTTGTCATTAGTCTAAAAACAGTTTATACTAAAGGCAGTCAAAATGACAGCTTGTGGAATGTTCTACTCTATGATGTAATAGTGTGGATAAGCACCGCCTCCGCAGAACAAGATCAACGCCCGCTTCGACATCACTGCCTGTTTAGCCCCGCCCACAGACTCTACATCACTGCCTTTTTAGCCCCGCCCACCGATTCTACAGCACTGCCTGTTTAGCCCCGCCCACCGATTCTACTTCGCTGCCTGTTTAGCCCCACCCACCGAATTGCGCACGGAGTAGTTAAATAACAAGAGCAGCTAACGCAGGTCTATACAGAAACCTAAACGATAAACGCAGGATTTTCAGAATGATTGAATCTAAAAGATGATGCTGTGCCCACTCTATTGGATCCGATGTCACACCACACAAGTGTGAGTAACTGTTTTCATTACGTGATCACCATTGCTTTGCCTGTTGAACAGATCGTTTGATATGTACGCATATGTATGCGTTTTTAGCCTAAATCACAGCAGCGTCCATCTGTGAAGGATATAGGCTGTCAAACATACACAACTGTTAGCCAATCATAGCAGTGGGCGTTTACTTCAGAGTCTACAATCTGCCACGCCCCTTCAAACAGAGCGTTTTGATGAGGGGCTTACAAACAGGACAGAAAACAACCTATTACTTCTGAAATATATAGTTCAGTCATGAAACTCTAGATGGCGCATTCTGATATTACAGAGGTTGTGTGACAAAAACACAGATGTGGCTGATTCAGACGGGATTAAAATTGCAAAAAAAAAAAAGATCTATCTTTCTATCTATGGTTCCGAATTCAGCAATAGACAAAGGTCAACACTTTTTGGCACAAACGGAACTCCATAATCTTTTTTGGAAACATCCTACTAATGATAGATCAAGGGGACGACTTAAAAAATAATATATACATCAACATATACTAATTTATCTTAACAAGTAGGCAGTTATTGCAGATATAGGCATCTGTATAGTACAAAGCAAGCACTGTCATATTTTATTGTGTGCTATGTCACATTGTTAAACTCATCTTTTTCGATTATTATCTAAATTCGACAGTGTTGCCATAGTAACATTTGTGTCGAGCGATTGCTCTTTGCTTGATTTAATAGTCTGTTGTTACCAAAGCTTGGCAGGTTACCATAGTAGTATTAAACCGCGCGTGCGCTTTAGCCGTATAGCGGTATGGCGGTGAAAGCTGTCAACATAAACTTGTGATTGTTGGATTGAAAAGGAGAAGTAAGAAGAAGATAACTTAAGTGATGTACCATGTGAAGGTAAAGCAAAGCTTATTTCGTTTGGAGCAGCTGTTGTGTAGCGATTGCCCCCCCCCCCGAAAATGTTACAGCTAAACAGCACGATTAGCCACTCATCGATAGCCAAATAAAACTGTTTATGTTACATACTTTAGTTAAATCTCTTTATTTCAATAGCAAACTGTCACTTCATTACATGAACAATTGGTATGTACAGAAACAACTTGTAAGCAAGCAGTATTTAGTTAGTTATGTTAGGTAATAGAGTCATGAGCTTCATTCTCTACAGTTGTAACACATTTGCTGTCAATTTCCCCCGTCCTCTCATAAGAAAATAACAAAAGAAGATACTTGGAGGTCTGATGACTTAAAAGTGCACATTCAGGTAATCTGCAGTTTGTTTGTGTGTAAGAAAAAATACAAGGTTTAGAAGCACAACCCATAAAATGTCATTGTTGAAGGAGAGCAAAAGAAGATCCAAACAAGAAGAGGAGCACAGGAAATACAGGGATGGAGAATCTCTGGATCGCTGACAAAGAGACCCTGAATTTACTGTAGTAAATATAGGCTATCACTGTCGTATTTACAGCTGATTCTTGTAGGTGCATTTGTTGCTGCCGTAAAGCGATCCGCCCTTTTAGCGGAATTTCGTACCCGTTTACCAAACCTACTCTCAGAACACACGTTTGAAAAAAGAAATAGCAGCTATTCGCTTATTAGAAATCAGTCTACTTCTACTTTACCTACTGGTATTTCAAGGTTAAAAAAAACTACATACAGTTGGTTAAATCACAGCTGCTGATAGAGTCAGCTTTACCGCCCTACTGATATTTAAAAGGATAGTTCACACATTTACTCAAGTTGTTCCAGACCTGTATAACTTAAAATGAGATGACATGTAAATAATACAATTATTAAAATAGTGGGGTGAACTTTCCCTTTAAGGCACAATGAACTCAGGTAGTGTCGTTTTCATCAGAATCAGAATCAGAATGAGTTTTTATTGCCAGGTATGTTTACACATACGAGGAATTTGTTTTCATGACAGAAGCTCCACAGTGTAACAGAATGACAGTGACAGAACAAAAACACAGATAATAAAAAATAGAAAAATAGAACAAGTAACTAAGGAATAAAAATATACAAATCGACAATTGTATGTACAGGTATATAACAATAGACAGTTGTATGTACAGGTATATTATGTGCAAATTGAAATGTAGACTGAGTGTGTGTGTTAGATAAATAAGTGTATGAGTGAATAAATAGTGTGTGTTCCACAGTTATTGTCAAGTGTTCATGAGATGGATGGTCGAAGTAGAGTTGGAGTGGCAGGGAAGACAAGAAGCTCAGTCTTTGCCAGGTTGAGCTGTAGGTGATAATCTTTCATCCATGCCGAAAACAATTCATGAAACAGCAAAAAAAAAAAAGTTTTATCGTTTTAGTTTGGAGGACAGAATTCACAAAATTGATTCTATTTTAAGATACTGTATTTACTTTTTTTTTTTTTTAAACCATGGTCACCTAAAATCAGTGTTGTTTTAGTATCATTGACATAATACTGTAGTGTTTAAATTGGGGTTTATTTTTATTTTCATTTCAAATGTACTTTTTAAAAATAATTTTGTTGTTTGTTTGTTTGCAACTAGCTGAAATTAAATAAGCTTTTTATATTTTATTTCAGTTAACATTTATTAAGTACAATTTTTTTAAATGGGTTTAAATTAGTTTTAACAATAATAACGCTACTTGAAATATTAGTAAACCTATAATAAACTTTAACTGAAATAAAAAGCTTAATTATTTTATGATCTTATGTTTTGCCGATCACATTAAAAAAATGACAAAAACACAACAAAACTACTAATACATTCAAATTCAAATTAAAACAGAAAATTTAAATGTAAACAAGAATATAAATATAAAATGTTAATAAAAACTATAGTAGTATCAGTGATAGTAAAATAACACAGGTTTATTTTGAAGTGAAGTTGTAGAATGTTTTCATAGCACAGCTCATGATTTGAGCTCTTTAAATGAGGCTTTCAGTCTCTGCTCCAGATTCCTGTAATGCGTCTGTCTCTGTGTCTGACATCACCACTGCAGCAGTGTATTGTAGCCCATCCTGTCCGTGCCCTCCCTCCCTCCCTCCCCGTCCCGTGCATCTGCGCTTCTCATTCACACTCACTGTGTCTGACACGAGCATGGATGAGGCAGCAGTGGAGCCGACCCTGGTGCAGACACTCGCTGTGAGCGCCATTGAAGGCCGATATCTGTCTCTGTCTCCCTCCTTCCAGCGCTGCTCGCTCGCCTCCTGGATTACAGAAAACATCAAGAAGAAAGAGTGCTGCTTCTATGTGGAGGATGGCAGGTATGGTTTTTAATGAGCTTGTCTTATAATGTTTACTCCATCACACTGGGAAATTAACCCTTAAAAGCCTACTGTATCATATTTGATATGAACAACATAATCAAACTTTGCTAAAAACGTCACAATTTACTACATGCCTTCTGTCGTCTGATTGATAGTTTAGATTTTTTTAGTATAATCGTACAAACATCCACCTTCAGCTCGTGCTTCACGTGTCTTTTTGCTGTCAAAACTTGATTTTAGTAAACGTAAGAATAACTAGTAATATTTCCAGATGAACCCTCACTGGACTGAAGCAGCTCTGCTTTACTTGATTCTCCATCAATCACTTTTTAGAAAAATCAGTGCGTCTCAAATCTGATCCTCAGGATCTTTTGAGGAGCGTTTGTTTCCAGAAGCTTTACTTTCACTGTTCCTCAGCGGAGGAGTGATCTTCACAAGCCTCCAGAACATCTCACATCTTCTGAGGAGCGTTTAGCTACTTGTTCATCTCTCAATCAGTGTTGGATTGCATTTCATCATTTAAATCTCATCTTACTAAAACATATTATTGGAGATATAGTGACGATTGATATTTATATCATTTTATGCAAGTATCTGCTGTACTGTTATAAAGATCTCATTGATTTACATTACAAGCCTCAGAATTTCATCCCTTTTTGGTCATATAAATATCAGCATCTGCACCAAATTGCATATTTTAGCTCAGTTTGGAATAATAAAATAACATCAGAATAGTCGAAAACCGGTGAAATATCGGGTGGTGTGTACTTCCGAATGTCCAGCAGTTCGTCTCTGGGGAAACTGATTGCAGGGATATAACTAAAGACAGGACAAACTAACAAAAACATAAAAACAACTGCAGAGCACGCCACGGAGGCAGCCATTATCATGACGACTAAATCACAGCCAACTGAAACGGCAAAATAAAACACTTATTTCGTGTTTTCACTCTTACAAGAAGCAATGTAAGTCGTAAGTCGTGTGATTTATAAACATGTGTTTATTTAATTTGTACTGTACTTCAGATTCATTATTCATTTTAATATGCGTTTCTGAACTACCAACAGAATGTCAGAGTTTACGACAATGAATCAGGACGAAATTAGCGAAAAAGACTTGAGAGGTGAGGAAAAATAAGTAGCTATATCATAAAATAAGGCATTTGATATAATGGTATTATGATATAATAGCAGTGATTAGAAAGAGGTGAGGTTCAACCGCTCTTAAAGGGATAGTTCAACCAAAAATTGTCATAATTTACTCACCCTCATGTTTTATTTATTTGATATTATTTTATTAACAATTGTGATTTTATAATTTTAGTTTGGAGGAGAGAATTAACAAAAATCATATTTTAAGACACTATATTTAATAAAAAGTTTATTTTTTATGTTTATTTTTCATTTTAAATGTAGATAAGTTTTTGTAATTTTGTTTTTTATATGTGTATTTAATACTTTTTATATTTTTTTATATCTTACACACACATACATACATAAATAACTAAATATATATGTAGTATTTTAGTTTGACAGACAGAATTCACAAAAATGTATCTATTTTAAGATACTGTATTCAGTATGTGTAATATATATACACATACACACAATTTACATTTAGACATTTAGCAGACATTTTTATCCAAAGTGACTTACAAATGAGGACAATGGAAGCAATCAAAATCAACAAAAGAGCAATGATGTGCAAGTCTCAGTTAGCCTAACGCAGTACACATAGCAAGGTTTTTTTTTATACACACACACACACACACACACACACACACACACACAATGGTTATTTGAATAAGGTTTTCATTTTTTGTGTTTAATTTTCATTTTAATCGTAATTAAAGTTTTAGTCATTTTGTTTGTGCTTTTTATTTGTATCTTATAACCGTTAATAGAAATAGACATATTGTCTAATAAACTAATACAACTAATACAAAACTAATAAAAATGACAAAAACACAAACAAAATTAGGCCTACTAAAAAAAAATTTTTTTTTAGCTTTGTTCTTGTTTATATATAGTTGTTATAGTTGTAATTTTAAAATAAATGATGCTTAAAAAAGATTTTTGTATTTTATTTTACTACAGTGGATCAGTAAGAAATTAGCAAAAAGACCTCAGAGGTGAGGAAAAAAATAAACAGCTATGAGATCAAATATGGGATTTGTCATTTATTAAATGTCTGCGGTGTATCGTGTATGTTGAATATAATTAGAGTTTTTGAGAGTATAATGCCCCCCCCCCATGCAATTGCATTTAAAGTTTTGAAGCTTTGAAAAGGACAAAAGCACCATAAAAAAGTCCATATAACCTACACGCTATAATTCAACTGTAAAGAATCCCACACAGAGAGAGCATGTCAGCCCATTAAAGCAGTCATGCTTTTCTCAATGATAATGTAATCTGATCATCATGTAAAGAATTGCATTTCTCCCACTTAGAGTTGCACTTGGTGCCCATTACCGTGGCAACTTGTTTTGGTGACTAGTATTCATCTGTGAAAGAAAAAAAAAAGAAACAAACAGCAAAACCATCAAGCTTTCAGTTTTATTTTCTTCTGTTTCCTTGAATGTAAAACCCAGTCAGAACATATAATGTTGATTATATGAAGCGGAGAAATAAGAGAACTTTACCAATCACAGTCCAAGGAGAGAGGTGAAAAAATCCTTTAAGGTAAAAGTATCTGAAAAATGCAAGCAGCTGAAGTCAATTTTATTGTTCTGTAATATTATTTTATATATTATTTAAAAAATCTGTAAAAGTTTCTTTCTTAGTATGTGTTAAAGTAACAGTTTTTCTATTTTCTATTCATTTTTGTGTATTTTATACAGGAAGAGGCTATTTATTTATTTTCATAGAAAGATGTCTTTGACCCATTGCATTCAGTTTCACTGTGAAAACGCAAGAACACGTCCTATGTGAACTTTGTAGAATAAGATGAGTTGTATTTGCAAATGTGCTTTTTATGCCAAAAAGTAATGAGTTTTGTTTGCAGAAATGCTGTGTGCACTAGAAGAGAAAGTACACCCAAAGGATATCAGCAACATCCAGTTAGGAAATCTGACAACTTTATTCTTAAACATCGAAAAGGTGAGACATAGTGAAAAAAAAGAATAAATAAATAAAAATAAAACATTTACATTTAGTCATTTAGCAGACGCTTTTATCCAAAGCGACTTACAACTGAGGGATACATAAAGTGATTCTTCTTAAAGAGGCAAACAGACACAAGAAGTGGTTGTAATACCAAGTTCTTAGACATTGTTCAAATAAGTACAAGCTAGAAAGAGAAGGAATAAATAAAGAGAGAGATACTTTTTAAAAAAATGTTATTTATTTATTTTATTTTTTTTAATTTTTTTATGATGAAGTCAAGTAGCTTAGAAAGAGATGAGTTTTCAGCTGTTGCTTGAAATTCAAAAAAAATGTTCAACACATTCTCTTATTAACCTTTGTGGTTGATCACAAAACATCAAACTCATGAACCTCACTTTCACAACTGTTGCTTATTCATCCTAACAAAGCAAGTAGTGCAAGACCAAGCATTGTTATATCAAAGCATATACTGTATATAGTGTTAACAAGCAAGTAACACAACATTGAAGCAGGTAAATAGCAATATCCATATCCAAAACAAAGGGTCTAATTTAGTGTTGTATTAACAGAAACTTTCTTTTAAATAATAATTTATTCATCCAAACCTGAATGATTTCTTGACACAAAAGATGTTTTGCAGAATATCTGAGCTGCTGTTTTCTGTGCAATAAAAGCGAAAGGTGATTTTTACTGCTGCAAAAAAAAATTTAAATCCTGACTTGCACATTGTATATTTAGCGGAACTATTCTTTTTAAAGTGTATTATTCTGTGCGTTTCAAATATGAAGTATAATTAATGATGTCAGTCATACACTGTAAATACAGTAAAGAAACGATTATCGAAGTACAGTTAACTAGAAAATACAGCTTCAGTCTTTCTACATAAAAATGTAATGTTTAATTCAGTGTGTTACTTCTCATTCCTTTGTAATTATTTGTGAATTTCACTAGCAATTTCTCAGTAAAACATCATTTCAAACTTAATCCAACATCAAATGTTTCTGCAACTTCACTTTACATCAGTATAACTCACAGAAATGGTCCCGTTGACAAGCGGTCAACTAAAGATCACGTGTATACACTCCTCTGTGTAGTTCAGCAACCTTTGGACAATATGTGCGGTCCTCGTGTTGTTGGGCTGTAACTCATGTGTGGATAACATGGATTACTGTTGGCAGGGAGGGGATTTGTAAGTGTGGTCACCCAAAGATCCAGCACTGCGATGAGGCCATCAAACCGGAGGACTATATGGGGGAGCAGTGGGACAGACACAGACACGTCAGAGAGGTGCCCACCGATGCCTTTGGAGATATCAGCTTTGGAGGACTTGGACAGAAAACCGGGAAGGTAAAATTATGTCTCCAGCGTATTATAGATATTTAAAGAATAGTTAACCCAAAAATGAAAATTAGCTGAACATGTGCTCACCCTCAGGGCATCAGAGGTGTAGATGAATTTTTCTTCATCAGATTTGGAGAAATGTAGCATTGCATCAGTGTCTCAGCAATGGATGCTCTGCAGTGAATGGGTGCCGTCAGAATGAGAGTCCAAACAGCTGATAAAAACATCACAATAATCCACAAGTAATCCACAGCACTCCAGTCCATCAGTGAACGTCTGGAGAAGACAAAAGATGAAACAAATCCATCATTAAGACGTTTTAACTTCAAACTGTCACTTCTGGCTAAAATGTGAGCACATAATCCATAATAATGCTTCCTCCAGTGAAAAAGTCCATCTCCTGTTGTCTCTCACATCAAAATACAGCCACATATTTGTTTAGAGCTGTGCTTGATCTGTGCAGATTTCTCTCCTGATTCAGACCAGATGATTTTCTCACCGAAGGAAGCGTTGTTATAGATTATGGACTCGTGTTTTGGTCAGAAGCCAAGGTTTGACATGCCTTAATAATGGATTTGTTCAACACATTAACTGATGGACTGTAGTGGTGTGGATTAATCTGATGTTTTTATCAGCTGTTTGGACTCTCATTCTGACGGCACCCATTCACTGTGAACTCATAGAAGGGCTTCTGTGGTGTGTGTTTAGTATGTTCGGGTGTCGTCGGACACGTCCTGTGAGAGTCTGTACCAGTTGATGACCGAACACTGGAAACTGCGTTCGCCGAACCTGCTGATATCAGTGACCGGCGGAGCCAAAAACTTCTACATAAAGACTCACCTGAAGGACAAGTTCCGCCGGGGCCTCATCAAAGTCGCCCAGACCACAGGTACGGCAGCCTGCATAAGGGCCGGGATTGTAATGTTATCACAAAGCTCTCTATATAATGTTATAGCAGTATGTTCAAATTTAGTCTCATATATTCAGCATGCTCGCACAGGGCAATATGTACTATATAGCACATCTCAACTGCCTAATTGTTTGTATCAGGTACGTATTAAGGTTTCCACAAAACTATGAAGCAGCAAATCAGCATATTAGAATGATTTCTGAAGGATCATGTGACACTGAAGCCACTGCTTTTGTGGTCCAGGGTCACATATTTTATTTAGTTAAATATAAATAAATTACATTTATTTTTACGAATAAAATACATACATACATTAAACACTAAAAAACACATGCAGCCAATTAAACAACATCACCAAAATTATTGCAAAAAATTATAGCAAAAGCTTGTCTATGATGCCTTAAATACTAAATGTAGATAACTTGCCAGGTTTTCTCTATGGCTTTTAATGACCCTGACTGAAAATTAGAGAATTGGAGCATGTGTGTACAACCGTCACAAACTGGTCTAGCACAAGCTGCAGAACCAAGTTTTTGATGGTTTGTGTTGACATGCTTTTTAAGGTGTATTAAACAGGTTAGACTAATCTACAGTGCTTTCCGTGTGGCAGGTGCGTGGATCCTGACAGGAGGGACACACGCCGGTGTGATGAAGCACGTGGGCATGGCCGTGCGAGATCACACACTCAGCAGCGGTTTGATGGAGGGACAGAACGTCGTCATTGGTGTGGCACCCTGGGGAGTCATTCACAACCGACACGCACTCGTCCATCCTGAGGTCAGATGATTTCCTAATGATCTGGTCAGCCAAAACCTATTTACTAAAATATTTACGTATTTCAATCATTTAACAACATATTTTTTCTCTTTTTTTTATATAATATAAATTATAATATATTTTTTTTAGAAGCTGTTTTATTTTGAAAAAATTATGTATTTATTTTAATTTTACATTTTTATAATTTGTGACCCTGGAGCACAAAAGCAGTGTTAAGTCGCTGGGGGATATTTGTAGCAATAACCAAAAATACATTGTATGGGTCAAAATTATTGATTTTTCTTTTATGCCAAAAATCATTGGAATATTAAGTAAAAATCATGTTCCATAAAGATATTTTGTAAATTTCCTACTGTGAATATATTAAAACTTAATTTTTGATTAGTAATATGCATTGCTAAGATCTTCATTTGGACAACTTTAAAGATGGTTTTCTCAATATTTAGATTTTTTTGCTCCCTCAGATTCCAGATTTTCAAATAGTTGTATCTCGGCCAAATATTGTCTCGATCCTAACAAACCATACATCAATGGAAAGCCTATTTATTCAGCTTTTTAAAAATTGACGCTTAAGACTGGTTCTGTGGTCCAGGGTCACATTTAATTATTAGCTTTTCATCAACTCACAAACCCCTTGTAGTTTCTGTTATGCTGTTAGTGTTTTTATAACAACAGAGTTTTCTGGGATCTCATCTTCTCTCTAGGGTTGTTTCCCTGCGTACTACGCTCTGGACGAGCAGGGTCAGGGCTGTCTCTCCTGCCTCGATAACAATCACACTCACTTCCTGCTGGTGGATGATGGCACTCACGGACATTATGGTGTTGAGATTGAGCTGCGGGCCCGTCTGGAGAAACTCATCTCTCAGCAATCGCTGGGAAACAGAGGTGTAGTGTTGAGGAAGCTTTACAAGATTTACTCATCATTTAAAATAGCTTGTTTTCATATTTTAATATTGTACAATAGCTATCAATACCAGTTCAAAAGTAAGGAGTCGGTAAGATTTTGTAATGTTTGTGAAAAAAAGCCTCATCTGCTCACCAAGTCTGTATTTATTTGACTAAAAATACAGTAAAAACAGAAATATTGTGAAATATTATTGCAAACTTTTGTATTGTAATATATTTTAAAATGTAGTATATTCCTTTGATGCAAAGCTGTATTTTCAGCATCATTACTCCAGTCTTCAGTGTCACATGATCTTCAGAAATCATTCTAATATGCTGATTTGCTGCTCGAGAAACATTTCAGATTGAAATCTGATTGTGCATTTTTCATTATTTAATGCATTCTTTCTGATAAAAAAAATTAATGCATGAGGTCATTCAGTCACTTTTAATTGTCATGTTTATTTATAGGCCTCTCTTGCCTCCTCTGATGGATCAACACTGAATCTTTTTTTTTTTTTGAACCACTTCGCTGGAATGAACGATTCACTAAAATGAATCAGACTTTCTAGCTGTACTATAATGCTGTCACACAACTTTAGTTAGTCACTCCGCAGCACTGTAGAGATGAGTAGTAAACCGACAGACAAAGGTCAGAGGTCAGCAGACGACCTTTGCCTGACCTTTCAGACCGGCAGTGGCTTTCATACGCACAAAGGAACGTGTTTGCTTGCGTGATTCGTATTTGACAGCTCATATACTGTAAAGGCCAACATGCAAAGCAGTTTTCTGTCCTGCGTGAATGTATTTCCTGTTGAAACCGGAAGTTTAGGCAGGGCATATCAAACAGATCATACTTTGAAAAAAAAAATAGCCTTGATTTGGACAAAAATCTGCGTACTAGTGCCACAAAAGTAGTATTTAGCATACACATGACCTCAAAATGATGAATAAAAGCCACCGAATTTTGATTTCATGGCTCTTTAATGCTGTTCACTAGTAACTTTTGATTATTTGTGGCGTGTTTTGTCTTTCCATCAGAGAGTGGAGTGACAATACCAGTGGTCTGTGTGGTATTGGACGGTGGTCCAGGAACACTAAACGTGAGATTTTTTTTAAAGTCGTCAGTAGGGGTGTGCGATATTGACAAAAAAAAAGATATTTCGATATTTTCTGGAATTTTAGAGTTCTGGAGTGTGTTATTGTGCTGGTATCTTAAGGACTACCATGGACAGCTGACTTCTAATGTTTTTCATATTCTTCATATTCTGCGTGGTGGTCAGTTCACAGCAGTGATAGAAAGTAGCTAATCTTTTTCAATGAGTTTATGGGACCTTTTATGGGCATTTTTTCTAAAAGTGTGGATCATCTTTTGAATCAAATTCTTACATTTAATCAGTCGGTTAGAATAAGACTTTTGGGGTTTTACCAGGCAAATTAAATCAGTATCAACTAAATTTATCTGCAATGCAGAGGAAACACAGAAGCTGCATCTGAAGTCGCATTTAGATGCATTTACACACTGTTTAATTCAGCTCAGAGGGACATGGAATGATTTAACCTGCAATTACAAATGCATAAATAATGTTTTGCTATTTGAAATGATTTTTTTTTAAAAAAGAAGAAAAGATACTTTAAAATGTGCAAGTCACTGTTAATGAGTGAGTCATTGCGATGGAACCAAATCATTTAAACGGTTGATTCATTCAGGAACGAAACACCGTCATGTTGCTCAGAGACACAAAACAGTGCTGTGGGTGTGTTTGGAATTATTTTTGTTGGCGAAATAAAACAGGCAATATGGTGTCTAAAATGTAAGTCTCTTAATATTAACTTATTGAACTGTTGTATAAAATCAATATCACATTTGTAATCATGCTGATTTTTGGAGAAAAAACGTCTCTCTCCGTGTGATATTAGCT